GTTTGGGAAAGGGCCCCCCCCCCCCCGCCCCCCCCCAAGCCCCCCCCCCCCCCGCAGACCCGCCCCGCGACCCAGAGCGCCCCCTGCAGACCCGCTTGGAGCTCCTGACCCGGTGCCCCCCACCCCGTCTGCCTGCGAAAATCCCCGCCCCGCCCCTGGGCGCTGGGAACACCCTTGGCGCTGGATCCCTGGATCCCCTCCTCAGCTCCTGATGAATCCTGGGCAGGTCTCCCGGTTAATACAAAGTGTATGTTTGTTTTACAAATTCAACTGATACAGTAAGATAAATGACAGGAAAATTATCCCGAGTGGCATGAATAAACTGGTGTTTGGTATCCCGGAGAGTAAAACCATGTAAGAAATTCTGATTCCTGACCATTTTTAGGCACCAACAAGTGAGCGATCACACACGCAGCTTTTCATCAGAACACAGCCCTCTTGAGAAACCAAAGAGGCCCGCGCCTTGATTTCGGACGCTCAGCCTCCAGAGCGATGAGAAATGACGCTGTAAGAACCGGCAGAGAAAAAGGAGGGCTGGGACGTGCGCCAGGCACACGGACAGCCCGGGACCAGCAAAGCTCTGGAGGGTCTTGTGAAGGCTTCGCATCCAGGACACACGAGTTTCTTCAGAACCCCTGGACGGAAGAACTGTGGCTGGGATTGGTTTAGAAACGTAGGCAGGCTGGACAAACCAAGCTGAGGAGTTGACTCATCCTGCGAAGAGGAAGAACCTTTCGCTCAGCCTGCAAGAGCGGCTACTAACTACAGTTAACAGTATTCACTTTGCGTGAGTTAAGGAGTTCATTAATCTCATTAATGAACCTGTTTGTGCCTTGATATAGCTTTCTCTTAATATTTAGGGAATACATCTTTGAACTGTTTTTCTTTATTCTAAGTAGGCCTGTAAGATAGCTATCATCTGGCTGTTCCCTCTGTGCTGTGTGACAGATCCTTAACCTCTGGCTGTATGCTGGTTACTCTGAGCTTCCATTTTTAGCTTCTACAAAATAAAAGTTAGAGACATCTATCCATTCCAGAAATCCTGGGGATATTTTCGATTTGTATTGCAAAATTCTAAGTGCAATAGGAATACTGAATGGTAACTGGAAATAGTTTTAGTAACTATGTGGAAATTCCCTGTTTTGCTATATAGCATGTATTTCTCCATCAGGAGTAATAAAAAGTAATACATTTTATAATTTAGAGAAGAATGGTCATGGCAGTCATTATAACAGAAATATGACTTGGAGGTGAATTAAAATTGCTTTTATTTTTCCCAAGTAAATTATAATATAAAATGAGTTTGTTGAAAGTTTGTTTAAAATAGAAGCTTCGGTTAGAATATAGTTTGAACTGGATGCCTTCTGTAATAAAGTTGTTTAAGTCTTCATGAGACTCCATAAAGCATAAAGAGTGATTCTGAAATATCTTTATTTTAATAACTACCCCCCAAACTGCCAAGTCATTTGGGAGTCATTACTAAAGGGATGATGTACAAGAATGGGAAAGAAACTTAATGTTTTACCTTGTCATTTTCTTAGTTTGAAGGGTAAAAGCAGCAATAATAAATAATCAAAAACAGAAAGCAATTGTAAACTGAAGTACAAAAGTTCACGAATCAGGTAAATTGCAAACTTTTCAGTAGAAACCCAATTTATGATTATTAGGAAGATTTCTCTGTATCTACAGGAATCTCTGACCACAGAAAGGTTAATGGCCATAGGAGGTGAGAACTGCCTTCTGGCCCACTGAGATGGCTGCCTTGCACAACTCAGAGCCAGCAGCTACTGGTCTCACAAACCTCCCTGGCTTACTGGGCAGTGACATGACCTATAAATTACAACCAGAGCCACTGTATGACACTCAGAGCAGATCTACTAGTGAGGAAAGAGAAATTCCTGAAAAGATGCTTAAGTTAAAACCAAGTAAAAGATTAGTTTTGAATAGTCTTTCTTCAGAAACAAAACAAATCTGCCCTGAGTTGTTAGTTCAGAAGGACTTTTAGAATATTATTGAGGATACATAATAGCACAATTCCTTGTTGAACACCAGTGACGAACACTGTGCAAATATGCACTCCAAGGCCAGGAGCCATCCCAGACTGTATTCTTAGAAATTAGCTCCCCTGACATATCCACCTACTGTTTTAGGGAAGGCGCTTCCCTCAGTTTTGGAGACCAGACAGTCATAGTCCCCCACCCTGCTACTGCCACTGGGGCCCCGGGAGACCACGCTGCTTCTCTTGTAGCGCCTTTCCCCAGGTGCAATGAGAGGCTCTCAGCTCATCTCCCACAGCACCACGGAGAGCAGCCTTGACTTTCTGGTCATTTCAAAAGGCTTCTGGAGACTTGGGAATAAGAGCTTTGAGAAGGGGATTGAGGGGTATTATGTTTAGTACACATGGTGTGGGGGATCACGGGGAGAACAGTGTAGCACAGAGAAGGCACATAATGGATCTGTGGCATCTTACTGCACTGATGGGCAGTGACTGCATTGGGGTATGGGTGGGAACTTGATAATACGGGTAAATGTAGTAACCACATTGTTTCATGTGAAACTTTCCTAAGAGTGTATATCAATCATACCTTAATAAAAAAAAATAGAGCTTTGAACCTATAACACTGCATGGCTGCCCAGGACCCGCGCCACCCCAGAGCCTACCTGCTCCTCTTCTCCTGTACTCCCTTGGCCAGCAGCCTCCCCCCTCCCCACGCCAGCACTTCCACCTAGTAGAGAACCTTCAGGCAGCCAAGAAAGTGTCAAGCCTAGACCCAAATTCTCGTGGTCTAACAGGGAAGAGAGGTTTCCCTTTCCCCTGCTCTGTGCTGGGTATGCAGATTCTCAGATCTCATTTTACGATTGATTTCTATCCAGAGTGATTGACCGGGGCTGTCCATCCCCCTGAGGAGAAAACTCACTCCATCCACAGATCTGTGGTCTTTCACTGTAACATTGGTAACAATCATACAAAATTCAGACAGCTGTATGTTTCTCAAATTCAGAGGTGTCTAGTTTCAATCCAGATAGACTCAGAAAAGATTCCATTCAGTCTTTCCTTATTAATTAACAATTCAAGAACTGTTAACAATGGTTTCCCTCTCCTCCCCTAAAATCTTCAGATGCCCTTACAAATACCTTCTTCTGCAAACAGGTTTATTTAAGGAGCAGGGGGTGGTTTCCTAATGACTTCTCACCAGGCTGAAAGGAATGATTTCCTCAGAGGAACAAAACCCCATTGTGTGAGTGATAACTTTTTGCAGTACCTGGACAATAGCAGCGTTAACAAAGCCCTGACAGAGTGAAATCTTAGTCCCTCCCACCTTGGAATAATCCCAGTCCTTCACTTCAGTCTCCCCAGAGTGGAAATGTTCTCCCACTACGAGGCTGTAGTTTCCCCGGATGTTCTCATGTCCCCAGGAGTTCACTGTGTGTATCTGCCCGGTCGAAGGGCGTTGCTCAAGCATGCAGATCCCAGGTGTGAGTGGGCTGACGGCCAGGTCCCATGTGTCATTCATCCCCACGTCATCCTCTGATTCACTGCCCCATCAACCTTCTTTCCCACAGGTGGAGAAGGACCGTCCCCGACATCAGCCGGGAAAGGCGTATCCCCGGCTCAAAGGCGTCAGTAGCTCAGGAATAGAAAAGCAGATTTTCCCACCAGTTCCCTATGGGCACTCGATTATTTAATTCAACATGTATTCGTTTGTGTTGTGAATGTGTTCTTTTTTCTGGCTATTAGTTACCTATTTATTTGTTAACTGTATTTATTCAAGATTTGTTGACCATGCTCGGTCTTTTCTTTTCAGCCCACCCAGGTTCCCAAGCCCTGTCACTAGGTGAGGAGTTCTCCCCCCATGGCTGCTCAGGGCTCCCTAGACAGCCTTGAACTCAACAATACCTGGTTCTCTTCTCGCGTTGTCTTCAGGCACCGTACTTGGGTGCGCTTTTAAGGGTTATAATAAGCTACACACTTTCCTAACTGATAAACTCTAGTCTTAACTTGCACACATATGTGTAAGGTTATACCAGATCCCAGCCTCTGAGACACAACCTTAAGGCAGGGGTCCTGCCTGAGCTTAAAAAAAAAACAAAAACAAAACTGAGGAGCTAATAATAGTCCTAATAGGCACATGCCTGAAAGGTAGTTCCATTGCCACTTCCTACTTCATTTGCAGTGTTCTTTACATGTGTCTCCCAGGTTCCAAGTTCTGTTTAGATGGTGATCAGAGAATTTCCTAATCATTGCTATAATACTTCACTTTGAAAATGAGAATCTCTGACCAAAATCTCCCTGTCAGGACCTAAGGTAATAAATAGGTGTTTGTTTGCTTTGTAAGTAAGTCTCAGAATCATTCCAAACTCACAGACATCTATCAGAATTTCTTTATTTCCTACTCTGGATAACATTAAGCAGTGATCAGATCTGGAACAGCCTCTCAGCCACCTAATGATGTATTATTACAACTCACTCTGAATTGTTCCAAATATTTAAGTAGAAACTGAAAGCCACTGCCTCCCCCCACTCCCCTCAGCCCTAGTTGGATGGACAAAACATGGTGGGGTACAGACAAGCACCGTGGGTACTGGCTATGACACCCTTTCTGTGTGTGGTGCCCTGCCTTCCTGCACTGTTCCCAGGGCACCTGATGTGCAGTCATCCGGTCTCAACTTCTCTTCCCTCATTTGGCTCGCTGAGAGTTGGGTTTTCTCTCTCCGGAGAGAGAGTGGAGAGTGACAGGCACACACACGCTCTTAGGAGATAATGCAGGGCAACACTCTTCTGCCACATTAATACTCTATTCCCTGAGAGTAAGG